ACAACCTTTTGATATATAAATCTACTGCAAGAATAAGGAAACTGTTAAGAAAAAAATATCCAGCAATTGCCATAAGATGCAAACCTTATTTTAATCATAGAAGCAAAATCCAATTTTTGCACCTCTTTCCTATCCACATAGAATAATGGGCTGAAGATTTCATGGTGGCAGAAATGGTTGCTACCCTTCTCTTCCTATTATAATAAATAGTCTGCTCTCTGGATGTTTGCTTTTGACCTTCTCATACCACACCACCTTAACTTCATTTTGTTATTTTCCCTCTTGAGCTTTTATGAAAGAGGTGCCCTTCTTTTCCCTTCCCCTTTCCTCCCTTCCTCTCTCAAGATGTGTAGTCCTAGAAGGATATGTGACTCTCCCCCTGCTTCTATTTGTATCTCTGCGCCTCAGTAGTCAGGTCTTTGTCCTCTGCCCATTGAGGCCAAAATACTCTCCCCCCCTCCCAAATTTCCTGTATCTATACCAAGTTGGAAGGGAAGCAGAGAAATGTAAGGAGGATGGTGGAACCGGATGAGAAAATAGTGGAAAATCCACTGTATCTTCATTATGCTGGACATTACAGAAAGAGGTAATGGAGTTGATGTTCACAACTACGAGAAAAGAATCCCAAAGGTTCTTTTTAAAAAGGCAACTGGACTTTGTTTTTCCTTGAAGACATTTCGCTTCTCATCCAAGGAGCTTCTTCAGTTCTGACTGAATGGTGGAGGATGGAAGGGTTTATATTCTTTGCAGTCAGATGACTGCAAGATGACTGACCTAATGACCAGATAAAAAAGCACATTTGGGACAACCATGACCTGGATGATTGAGAATCTCCATAGAAATTATGAGAAAAGAGACAATTTAATGACAAGATTCTTAGATGGTCATGTAAACAGGTAGAATCTAATGGACAGCCAGAGGTGAGTTGGGAAGGGGGCTTTTTGCTGCGGTTGGTCATCAGATCTCTTGTAAGAAGCCTTGGGAAAATCCAGTTGTTTCTTGAGAAATTGGTAAATTACTTGAAGTTCAGGTATGGCTTTTATCTATCAAAACTAAAATAGGTGACTTGAGAATAGAAGAATGAACTGATTTATTGCATACAAATTTGGCCATAGGCAAAAGATGAGACCAGTTGTCTTCTTGATAGTTTACATCGAGGGTCTCCAACCCTTTCTGGGTTGGCAGCTCGGTGGGAGAGGGAGGGGCAGGCATCTTACCTGCGTGTGCCCAAAGATGAATGTGGCCACACGTGCATGCGTGCACATAAACAGGCCGTGAGCATGTGCACCACACAAACGGGGCTGCAAGCATGCGTGCGAGGCTCTCAGCAACACCAGCCTGTATGAGGCTTGTGATACCGCTGCCACCAGGCTTGCGGTGATGCTACCACTGGCGCGAAGATCACGCCGCCGCCCCTGCATGAGGCTCATGCCGCAGCCCGCAGCAATGCCACCACTGGCATGAGGATCGCATCATGGGCAACCTACTGCTTATGGCACTACCGCCATCCACACAAGGTTTGTGGCAACGCCGCCGCCTACATAATACTAGTAGCAACAGTGGCACGAGGGGTGTGAGCATGCACACACATGCGTGTGCACTGCCTAGCTACTCACATGGCCCAGTGGCCAAAAGGCCATAGGTTGGGGACCTCTGGTTTATATCACAATCACAATATTACTCAAAGGTATCATTTGATTTCTCTATTCTTCCATTGTATTGGGAATGATGAGTGTCATGCCTCCAGCATAAAGTTTGTGTATGTAATATATTTTTATTGCTATTGTTGTTCTTTAATATAGCTTGAGCTCCACCTCATGACCAAATACAAATCTTTATTGAGACCCAGCCTTTAAGGGTCATCTTTCCAGCATCCCTCATTCCAAAAAACAAGTGCATCCTTGGGAGCCAGACTCCATTTCCTTTAGCATTTGGAGGAAACAGAAGCACCAGGAAGAATCCAGCCTAATCCATAGCACATAATCATCTGAGGACAAAAATCCGCATCTCTGTACACCCAGCATCACTGGTGAGATTTTGATTTATCTGTATTTGTTAACTGTTATGCTCACCAGCAACTCAACACTGTTTATTTTGTAATAGGGTTCTTATTGTATGTGTTTCTATTTTTCCCAGTTTCACCATCCTGTTCCTTTAATAAAGCATCCAGATCTACGCGCCGGTCTGTTTTATTGGAGGATAGGTGGGTTTAGCTACATGTTAAGCTGCACACAGAGTAACATGTAGCGAGGACAAAACAATGGGCAAAGGAGACATGAATTTAACGCTCTTGCTTGAAATCAGATTGAAAAAGCATGGCTGGATGTCTAAAAAGTTGGTGAATGAATAGGCAGGCCATCTCCAGAAGAGGGAGGGCTGAAACGGGAGATTAAAAATGTCATTTTCAAAAACAGAATAACCACAGCTAGGCTTGTTGTTAGAATGTTGATCTACAATATCATTTTCTTGGACTCAGACTGGATGACCAATTATGACCTCTGGACTGATGATGCTTCTGCTTGCTGCCTGGAATTTTGCTTACTAGGATTTTGTCTATACATATCCAAGGGATATCTGCCCTGCCTGCTGTTGCCGTAACTGTCCAACCAAAGTAAAATCGTTTGTGCATGCATGTAGGGAATCAGGCCTGAGACAAGACAGGAAGATTGTGGGTGTAACAGGCTGACTGGCTTGGTGGTTAGTGAGTTGACATGGCAGCAAGTGTGACCCAAAAAAAATAAAATGAAAAATCTTTAATTGCTTTTCAGATATGAGGCTACCAAAGTCATGGAGTAAATATTCCAAATATCCAGCTGGTTAGTGGTCCTAACAGAGCTGTAGAATGTCCTCTCTCTAAGAAAGAAAGATGAATGCATAATTAGACATAGCATCTTGGCTTTCACTATTCATGGTTGGTGAGTTAGAAGGGCTTTCTGAAGATCACCTAGTAAGTAAAGAACTAATCTGATTTCAGGCTGTTTGTTTCTGACCTTGTCAAAAATAATCTGACAGAGGCTATGAAAACAGAGTGACATTTCTGAAATAGTTTAACATATCTTCAATCAACATATTATAGTCAACACTCACAAGCTGTTTTCCATCCTCTTTCATGAAAACAGTAATTTTAAAACTTGTGTTCTTTTCATATTAATTTTTACCTTGTTTCTTTAATTACACCTTATTTCTTTTCATTAGATCATCCTAATGTATCACTTATTGTTCTCTCCATAACATTTCCCTAAATAGCATTTCTATACTGCACAATCTACAAATCAACAAACCCATTCTATTGTAAGAATGTACTTGATCAAAATACAAGATAATTTTTTTTTTAATTTTCTTTAAACGTATCTTGAACTGGATGGAACAAGCTTATGCATGAATAGATGCACCAATGAGGTATTGAGAAATAGATCAATTCCAACATTGTTGCACAATGGATCTTCTGATCAATCATCAGACTCTACAGTATCATTACTGCAATGCTATTATTGGAATGTCATAATTATAAAGCACAAAAGGGCACACATTTCACATACAGCATGGAAAATCCAAAGGAAGCTTGACTAAACTCATACAGATTGCCTTTCACGTTTATATTAGAAATCTAACTTTGCCTACATGTCTTTTCTATACTTGATTCTAATAGTTAGGATAGTTTGACTGTTTGTTTCTGTTCTAATAGATAATCAAGAAAACAGATTTTAAGCAATATTAGAAATGTACACTATACCACAATTCCTCAGAGATTCATGCTAATCCATCAATGACCACCACAAATAGACTGATGTCTCATTATAATGAGGCATCAAAGAATCCTCCAACCATGCTTTGAGTCAAATATGATAACATCCTGATGAAACAAAACATGATCAGATTTAAGATCTCTCTCACTCTCTCTCTCTCTGAGGAAAGGAAAAAACACAAGACATACTGGAATTTAATTTCAGCATGCAGTCCAATACCGCAAAGCACATTTAAGCAGGAAGTTACACGTGAACATCATGTATAAGTGTTTTGCCTACAATACACATGTGAAGCAACTCTGATTACTCCTGCAACAGCCACATTACCCCTATAAAAATTAGTTGTCAACATTAATGATCAAAATGATTATTTAGGAAACATATGGGTTTTGCCATATGATGTAGTAGCATATATACAGCCCATGAAATTTATGTATTATGTTGGGCTTATCACTGAACCTATAAATACAGTAACCCTTTTAGCTGTGTCATCTGTTTTATGGGGTAGATCCCATGATAACATAGCTGAATAATTGTTCCCTTTATTGATTGGTTTCCTCTTTCCATTGAGTCTGGAATCATTATTCCATCACACCCTACATCATGCATCCATTCTCCTCATAGCTCACTTCTATTACAAGTGTAATGTAGGAGTAGAAAAAAACCCAAAAGCAATAAACCATTGATAAGCTGTGGTTCTGTTTCTGAAATCTGGTATGATCTGTATGTCTCAGAAGTCTTTGAGAGTTTTGGTTTTCAGGAAAGGAGAGATCTTGATTACATTTTGCTTTCCACAACAACCATCACATTATTTTACATTTATGTAACATACAAAGATTATTTGAAATAAGTCAGTACCACTGCAGACCTATATGTCTTGATTTTCTTTGATCACCTCATTTCCATGAGCAAAATGCATGGATTGAGCTCCCATTACCTGCTCCAGCTCCTGCCTACCTAGCAGTTCGAAAGCATGCAAATGCAAGTAGATTAATAGGTACCATTTTGGTGTGAAGATAATAGAGTACCATACACCTTTGGCGTATAGGCATGCTGGACACATGACCATGGAAATTGTCTTCAGACAGCACTGGCTCCCTTGGCCAAGAAACAGAGATGAGCACCGCGCCCTAGAGTCAGACACAACTGCTAGGGAAATCTTTACCTTTACCTTACAACAATGCAATAGATTTCAGGCCATGCAATAAATAATACACCATTTGCGATAAATACTGAAGTGGGACTTTTTTTTACCTGTTATATTGCAGTACACCAAAAGTGGGGGAAGTGGACCACTTGCATCAGAATCAATGTGGAAGAAACCAGATGTTTTCCCCTGGTGTCGATAGGTTTCACAGGACTGCTCATAAATAGCTGAAAGGAAAAGAAAAGTTTCTTAAGGCAGATTATCTGGCAGACAGTTACCTGCTATGGATGGTTAAGGTCCAGAAAATGACTTTATCATAACTATTTCTTCCATATTACTGACATTAAGACAGTAAGTAGCACATGGTAAGTGCATCATGAGTGAGCAAAATAAACTGCCTTCTGATAGAGAGGTCACACAGTCAAAAGACAGTGTTATGTCAACTTAAAACACTCATACGTTATGTTTTCCTTAAGCAGAAACAAACTAATCTTTATATATAGACAACGTGGATGGGAATGAATCCTTATCTCATTCACATACATTTTTCCTCCAATATGGAGACTTTAGTTTAGTGTAGTCTTGATAGTGTTCGTGCAATTTTTTTTTATAGGGATTATTTTTCTCTAGATATTTTGAAAGGTAAGGGTCGGCTGGTAGTAAGAATACTACAGTAAGTCTGATGAAAGGCCTCAGCAATGAAGAGTTGAGCAGAGTACATATATTATTCTAGCTAGATGGCTTTTGCTTTTATTTTTACGTACAATTTTTCAAACTGAAATTGGTCTCCAAATGGTCTTAAATGGGAATGGAATAACCAAATTATAATCTATTTAAGCAATTCAGTCCCAAAATGTTGCCCCCAATCAGATGAGGTGGGAGCTGGAAGATTATAGCAAAGAGATTATTAGAACTGGTGTGTGTGTGTGGGGGGTGGAATAGGATCCTGAGGCACAAAAAGCAATCCTAAAGGAAAAGGAACTGAAATCAGTATTAGGAGTTCATTGGGAAATACCATATCTAGGAATAGGTGAAATCACAATTTAGCAAACTAGAAAAGCCAACTGGGGAGCAAAAATGGAGGAACTTTTAGTGTAATAGTATAGCATGTAATGGTCATCTTGGAGATTTATGCTAGTGTTCTTGTGAAGAATATTTGTGAGAAGCAAACTCAAAAAGATTGAGTTAAAACAACTCAATCAACATTCAATATGTATGGGTGAACATAAGCAAGGTAAAGAACAAGGATTTTTAAAAAAAGAAAGTATTAGAAAATCCCAGAGAGTTGAGGGAAAAATGTTCTGTACTGACACATTTTCAAGCAGCTTTCCTATCTATCATGTTTGTGATAAAAAAAACAACAACCAAGTATGCATAGATATTATTTATTTTGGTTGATTTTAATTTAATTCATTCTATTTAATATAGCTGCCCAATCCAGAAAATTCTGAGTTTTATTTGTTACCAGTACAGAATGCTTTTTATTTTATTTTTGATTCTGATATCATCACAGAAGGCCCAAATACTTATTCTTTTTTTCTGAGATTTTAAATATAGAGCTGGGATTCCTCACCCAGAAATAATAGTGACGAGATCCTCTGAGCAGCATCCATATACTTAGTAGAAATAATAAACAAAATAGCACCTTCCTCACCTATCATACTGCAGCAATCAGTATCGCTATTGTGTATGTTACATGAAATAGTACTGTACTTGAGGCTGAGGGGGAAAGGGACAATATACTGAAATATATATATATAGAAAGATGGGTCATCAAGAGAAGCAAACACTGAAAATTTTGATGTTCTATTGCAACCTGAACAATGTATTCCTTAAATAGACTTGGGCAGGGCTTTTTTTTCTCATAGAACGCTCAGAACGGAGTTCCGGCACCTTTTTTGGATGGAACCTTGTAGGGTAGGCAAGGCGGGTTGTATGACATGTGTGAGTTCCGGCACCTTTTTTTTTTTTTTTGTTTTAGAAAAAAAGCACTGGACTTGGGAATAATTTGTTCTCTTTGCCTCATGTATTTAAAAGTGAATTGCAATGGCCTGCCAAAAGCAGCTGATGTGATAAGAACAGTTCTAAGCATTATACAATGTTCTTTGCCTAAGTCAGTGTTTCTCAACCTTGACAATTTTAAGGCATGTGGACTTCAACTCCCAGAATTCCACAGCCAGCATTGCTGGCTGTGGAATTCTGGAAGTTGAAGTCCACATGCCTTAAAATTGTCAAGGTTGAGAAACACTGGCCTAAGTGATTCCTTAATTCTATGTGCTGCCACTTTTCTAGTTGTGAATTCCAATGTTTGCCTAGGTCCCAGATTTGATCTAACTTTCAAGTATGGAAAAATAGACTTTCACACGCTGGGGTGGAATATAAACTAAGTTTGAGGGGGATTTTCTAAATGAAAATAGAAAGAAGGAAGAAGAGACTGGTTTATGAGAAAGGTGTTATATGTAATTTTCTTCTGACAAACAACAACAAAATACAGCCATTTCTGGTTTCCTGTCTTAATTTATGGGAGAATGAAACTCCCATTTTCCAACTCTTGCTCTGAAACCAGAAACTGAGTAAGATTGAACTATTTCTAAAATGGCACATATTGGATTCAGGCTTTTCTGAAGTTCAGTATTCAGAAAGAAAGTCACGTGTATTCTGCATAATCAAAATATACACAACACACAGAAGCGCGCGCACACACACTGCTTTTAGAAGAGAATATTTATTATTGAACAAAACATTAATTTTGGTTCACTAGTTATAACAGCTTGCTTAATGTTGTTGGTTTTGCTTTAGTTTGCTTTGCTTTGTTTTTCTTTAGCTGTTGAAATGCCTTCATAATTACATGAAAGTTAATTGATGGGATGTTTTTTTTGTCTCCATAGGAGGCAAGAATATTTTGAAAATATTTTGCAAGTCTTCAAGAAATTTGTTCCTTGTAATAAATGAGTAAATGCTACTGGCACTAGAGATAAAATATAAAAATGAGACAAAAATAGGAATCATTATTATCTAGTGTAAAATCTGTATTTGTGTTGCCCTGATATCATCGAAAAGCAGGACCACCAAACGAACAGTGTGTGAGACAACTTTTAACATTTTTTTATTTTTTATTTTATTTAATGTTACTTTTCTTTAATAACTCACTGAAATGAATGGTTATTGTTTTCATATCTGTGGATAAACCTAAATAATACAATCAACAATGAAGATTGGTAATAAACAGGTCTGGTTTTTCACAAAACTATTATTGTAACAATTTTAGTACTTTCCTATATACTGATATTTTGAATTTGGTCTAAGAAAGAAATTGTTTCTTATTTCTTCCAATAGTTTTAGCCAGCATGTGTATGCTGGTAAAACGTGACTCTCAAGTATTATATGGATCACTTTTCTTTAAACCTTTCTGAGGGCAAACATTTGAATTATTAGATGACAATTCATCCTGGGTATATGTACTGCTATCTTAAGGAAGCAAGTTTATTCTATAAACAGTAAAAAGTAATAAAAAAAATTTCTCCAAATACTAATTATTTATTTATTGCCTGGGGAATACAAACCATCCTGAGGAATCCCTGAGATACACTGGAAACATACTCTGCAAGTCAGAAATTTAAAGACACTTAATGATATTAAAGATAGGCAGTTAAAGATAGGCCTCTGAAAAGTGACTTATATTTGTTTTAATTAAGCAATTTGTCTTGTGGAGACAACACAATATGCTCCAATAAAATACTTTGGACAGTCTCAAACCACTTTGGGCTAGTGCTACAGAAATCTCTTTTTTCCCCCTCCAAATATTGGATTGAGGTCTTTCATACTTTTGATGGCCCATTCCACGAGCTGGGCCTACTCAGCCTGGAAGAGATTTAGTGCATGAGGAAAGCAGTAATTCCTGTACATGGATCGCTAAAACTTTTGAAAGCGGGCCAAAGGAAATTCCAGACAATTGGTGTAAGTATATACACCATGTTTGATGTAGTCACCAAATCTGGAAATTCTTTAGTGCATGTCAAAAATGCTCCATATTATAGAAGTATATGGGTCACTACTACATGAGGAGATATCTCTCAGCCTATTCCCATATCACAAGCTCGATGGGAGAAGGTTAAGAGAGCTCTGAAGCAGGTTGTGGCAAAACATCACATTCTTTTCAATCTTACAAGTGAGGGGAACACTGTAGTTTTGAAGATGTGCATCATTGCTTCCTTTGAGACTTTGCAAGTTACAGAAAATCCACAGATATCATAATACTTCATACATTATGCTTAGGACACAGAGAATTTCCTGAGTATTATCTCTGATCCAATTATTTCACAATGTGAATATGTTGTCTCCTGGCAATGATCTCCAAGAGTTCAGCCAACAGCATTCCCCAACATTATATGGAAATGTCAAAGATTGAATTAAGTTTTTTTTCCACAGAAAATAGGTGCTGTACTATGGTCTCCAGAAGAACCAAGGGAGCATATCAGGCTAACAATGGTTGGAAAATCATTGTAATGATGTTTTTCATCTATACACAGATTTTACTAATTTCCTAAAAGTACATTTCTATGTTGACATTTTGCCAATCATGAATGTTATACTTTGCTTTAAAGAAAATACAGAAAAGTAAAAGGATGGAATTAATACTGTATATTGGGTTGGATGTCTGCTATTTCTAGAAACTGCTCTCTGCCACCAGCTTTTAATGATCTTTTCAAATCCATTTTAGTTGCTCAATCATGTATTCTGAACAGAGAAGAAGAGATGTGAAGCCCCATTCATTAGTAAAGAAGGAGACTGGTTTTATGATATTTGTGCCAACAAAAGGGATTATTAAAGGTTATAGCACCAACTAATAAAAGAAAATGCATATCTCAAAAGCCAAGTGTACCATTGAATTAGGCTTATGTGGGTGTATGTATGTATGTGTACACACACACACACACACACACATACACACACATTTTATATTGGGAGTATAATAGGCATCCTTTCCCCGATTACTGTTGCTTCTCTTTCCTAATTTTCTGGCAGTATGGAGCATGATATTCTGCAACTATGTGGAAGATGCAAGTAATATATGTGCACATTTCACCATGCTGCATTCCAAGCCATTTGAAAAGAGTACATGGCACTGTTCTCACATGACAATATCTTCTCAGTGTGTATGTATGGAATTGCCAGGTAAAAATCTATCCCTATAGAAAGCCAATTCAAGTGGATTTGCACTCAAAGG